GATTCCAGTGTTTCTGGATTAACATAGCACCTGCACAGAATATGATGAATACACACTCTTGCACACAAAACACTCTACAAATGGATGAGAGGGTGCCATCGCCTTCCCAAAACTCAGCAAGCCAGATGGATCCAATATTATCCCCCACCCCCCAACACTTGTCAGAAGAGTGCTTACAGTCTTCACAGACCAGTAATCTTGTGAAAGTGAGGCAGGTTACTGCTGACATTATGTGTCACTTTGGGTAAAGTTGCTGTTGATTTTCGCCCTTTTTTTTTTTTTACATTCCCCCGTCTGAGGATGGGTGTGTTACTGTCATTGCCAGCTGTGGTTGCTCAAAACTCCCGGCTGGGTGTGAGAGACATCTCGTCTAATGGCTGAGGATGTTGCTCTCTGAAGCCTGCTATCGTAATCACAAAAGAGCTTAATAACGGAGATTTCATTTATGACTCTTGTTTCCTTTCAGACGATACGCTGGCATCCCAGAGGAAATACATCCTGATTACTGCAGTCATGAATTACATGTATTGAATTATAAAAATGCCCATATTTTTCTCTCTGGATGGGACTTTTTAGATTATTACTATAATGACTTTGAAATAGTCAGTAGTCAGAGATATTTTTTCTCCCGCTGAAGTTGCGGCCCCAATTTTTCACTTTTCTCTCTTTAGCTCTGTGAAGAAAGCTGTGACCAGGCATTTGCAATGTATAATGACATGTGGGACATATGAAATATGATTCCCAGTCACACAAAGAATGAAATGAGAGGCAAAGAGTTCATCATTTCTTAATTAGTTTGCAGTATGTGCGTAATTATGGCTGAATTTTAAAACACACTTAAGGCGTTCCTCTCTCTATTCAGATCTAGTTCAAGGATGTCCTGCAGTTACACTGTAGAATCAATCCAGTGTTAATCGACTGCCATAATGTAATTACTCCTTGTATCCACACACAATGAATAGCCGTTTACAAAGCTCAGAGGTGCAGACAAAGATTACACTATAGTGCATATGTAAAGGCTGACGCAACTTGTTTGAAAATGAATACATGTAATGTGACTGTAAGAAATTATCAATATGTGCATTGTGTGTTGTCTCTAGTGAGTCTGTACAGGCTTTAACTAAAAATCCTATAAAACAAAGAATGGAGTTCCTCCCAATACACGTTCTACTGTGCCCCTGGCTTTGAATTTCAAGCATCTATGAGCAAGTCCTTCTAGGTTTTTTTTTTCTTCTTCCTTGGAATGTTATAACAAATAACCAACTTAGAAATATACTCAATAATAGGATTCAATCCAATTTAATGCTTGTGCAGTTTGCTCACAGCCCGATGATGTAATCTCTTGCCCACTCTATTGCTAAATCTGGCAATAAATAAATAACCTGCCAGGGAGAATTTGGGAATTGTTGTTAGTTAGGCTCGGGTGATTCAGGTGGTTATTGGATGTACACGAGCAGATCGGTGCATATTTCTCATCTGGTGATGTGAGGAATAAACACTTTTGCTTGGGGAAAGAAAAAGGGTGTAAAGGAAGGAACAAAACAGGAACAAAAAGGAATGTTTTACTTGATGATTTAAAGGGACTGTTCACCAAAAAGTAAAAGTTCTGTCATCACCCTCAAGTAAGTCATATGACTTATTTTCTTCTGTGAAAGACATTTCTAAGAAGTTTAGCAGAATGTCTGAGCTGTTCTTTTTCATACACTGAAAATGAATGATGACCGGGGGCTGTCAAGACATAAAAAGCACATTAAAAGCATCATGATAGTCCATAAAACTTGTATTATGATAGTCCATACAACTTTTACACTGCACAATCATTCAAAAGTGATTTTTTGAACTTTTACACCACTGAGTCATCATTCACCAATATCAACATTTCCTTATTGCATGTAAGACAGAAAGTCAGGTTTCAAAAATCCTAATATAAATCTAACAAAACAGTTAAAGCTATACTATATTTAAGAAAAATCCAAACATTTATTCAACCATTTATTTTAAATGTAATTTTATTTATTTTATTTTTATGTATGTATGTGTCTATGTATCTATCTATCTATCTTTCTATCTATCTATCTATCTATTTAGATTTTGCATCTACATGCAATTTTATAACACAGCCCCTCAAGGTGTAAGAGTGAAACATCAACCATGTAATAATACAGAGCCTGTATTCTCAACTGTCACTGGTATTCCTTTGGCAGAGAGGATGATGGGATGTGTCTATCGCATACTAGACTTGTGTCAGTCATATTGGACACAATCCAATTTGGAATCCATTCAGAGGTCGTCTAAACCATGCTCTGAGATTTGTGTTATCTGTATTTTTATTTATTTTTTTAAGTCTCACAAATTTCACAACAATCATACAGTCAGTCTGGCTTCCTTGAGATGAATGTAGCACAAATACAATTGGGGGCACATGTGGCCTAAAGGTTAGAGATTCTGAGTTGTAAACCGAAGGTCGCGGGTTTGAGTCTCAGCACCGGCAGGATTTGTAGGTGGGGGGAGTGAATGACCAGTGCTCTCTTCCACCCTCATTACCCACAACCGAGGTGCCCTTAAGCAAGGCACAGAACCCCCGATTGCTCCCGGGCGCTGCAGCAGAAATGGCTGCCCACTGCTCCAGGTGTGTGTTCCCGGTGTGTACTCACTACAGTGTGTTTGTGTTTGCACTTGGATGGGAAAAATGCAGAGGAATAATTCCAAGTATGGGACACCATACTTTGACCACATCACTTTCACTTTTGCATTAGATGGTCTATAATAGCAAAGAGAAAGGAAAATGCAAATTCCCTGGTTCCACAGAAATATCAAATATTTTGTAAAGTTTTACCTTCTACCAAATTATCTTTGCCAGACGTCCAAGTAATAAGCAGTTTGGGAATAGAGTCACGTCTCTTTGGGAATAATTGAAACGCAGATCATAATTATGGCCCACTACTTACACACTGTGACATCGTGCCAGGAGCCGCCACCATCTCCCAATTACACAAACACACGCTTGTCTGCTTCTGTTATTATCACTCATTACCTAAGATTCAAATGTCTGCGTTAATTACAGACTGTCATCACGCAAAGCCCAGCCTTGCTGCTAAACCGTGTCCATCACTCCAGCACTTGGGGTCCATGCTAAGACAGGAGCGTGTCCGTGGGCGTCTATCTGAGCTTAAGTGACAGTTGCATGCCTGTAAGATCCAGTGGGATCTAAACGGCTGACAGTTGAGAGTCCACTAAGAGCCATGACCATGCCATTCATTTCTCCAACATTGGTTTCCCTCAGCAGACAGGTAATGGGTACGGTGCCCGGGAGGTGACATGTTCGGTTCACTTAGTTGTCATTGCCACGACATAATAACTTGTGGGAACGTGTTAATATGTCGTGGCCACGAGATATTAATTTGAGGGAACGTCATATTAACTCGTGGGAACGTGATATTATGTCGTGGCCACGAGATCATTTTGTCGAGGTAACGACATCCTTATGTCGTGGCCTCGAGATGCTATGTTGAGGGAACGACATCCATTTCTCGTGGCCACGACTTCTTATGTTGAGGGAACGACATATTTTAGTTTAATGCATAAACAAACCTGCGTGTCCATAGCAACCCGGGATTATCAGAGATGGATTCATTAATATTTTATTTTGAGGAATTAATCATTCACATAGTTTCATTTGTAAATGAAAACACAACACGCTCATTTATCATCACACATGGGTGACATTATGGGGGGGAGGGCAATTGTTAGTCGTGGAATCCCTGATGTGGCCCACTGCAATTGGAACGCTTAGCCAAGCGCTAAATACCCTCAACGTGTTTTTGCAGCGTTGAGCAATGTAACCAATCACAGACATATCTGTTGATTTTTTGAACACAATGGCAAATCAGAACGTTTTGTCAGAATTCACTCACCGCTGAAAGCGCCGCAGGTTTTAAGTGCAGTTATGCACGCTCGTGAATCATTTCATGACTAAGTGCAGACATCAATAAGAGATTCATTGTGCAGTTTAGAGAGCTTCATTAATTATAACGGAACTTTGTAAGATTGCCATGAACAAAGATGAGTGACGCTTTTTAGTGATAAAGGGAGCGTGCTTTGCACACTTTGGTATAATCCATTCAGAATTTGTATGAAACTTTAGTTTTTCGGACACATAGGCTACACCCTGCAAAGTTTCGGGAATGACATCCGCATATTTATGCGGGATTCACTCTCAAAATAGCAGTGATTGGCAATGGACAGAACATAAAATATGTTGATTTAATTCTGGAACCGGTCCTGGCCAAACCTCCACACACAGCGCGCGTCCCGAGCGAGATCTAATTCACGGACCATGCGTGCGATTTATGACAGAATATAGTCCCACAAATGATCATTTATTTTTTTCCTCAAGTGTCTTGCCTTTGGTAACAACGATTCAAAACGGAAGCATTTCAAGTGACACGGAAAACTTCAGTGAACATCAGAAAAGCAGCGTGCACATTTCTGGTTAAAAATGAAAGGCCATCAACTGACAAACGGAAAGCATCACCATTCAAGTCAGCAAGAGCCAAAGCTAGTCCACAGTTTACTAAACGGTGGCAACCTCTTAAAGTTATTCTCGACTGTCTTGGATTGACTTTGATGCGTTGTAATATGGTAGGGCATTATTTTGATGCTTATATCAGAAAAAAATAATATTTTGCTTTTATTTACTTTTATTTCATCATTTATGTCATTATATCATATTTCTTTTTAAGCAAGTACCAGATAATGTACGTCATGTCACAAAATGTTTTTATACGACTGAAAATGTAGGCTATTTAACGTGATCACAATTTAAGAAAAACATAGGCCGATTAATTAATTTCAACGGTTATTCAAACAACGAATAAATTATATAGGAAAGTGAGCAAAGAGCATACATTTTACAGTATCAACGGAGCTTTTTGAAACTCCGAATCAGTTAAACCATTGCATCGCAAAATGATTCACTGTTTTGAATTGCTCCAATCACGAATCATTTGATTCAGATCGGGACTTCAAAGCGCCTATCGCGAATCATTTGATTCAGATCTGGACTTTAAAGCGCGTATCGCGAATCGTTTGATTCAGATCTGGACTTCGCGAATCATTTGATTCAGATCTGACTTCGGACTTTTTTTCTTGTCCCCCCTGACTCAAGAGTCAAATGTCGCCCATGAATACAAACATAAAGTCAAAACTTTATTGGCATAATTGTCAGGCGTTTATTTGCAAAATATACAAATATAGCCCTAATAAGTTAATGCAATAATAATAATACTATACAAATATTAAATTAAATGTTTAATGTTAATAAAAATGTTTTATCCATTTTTGATAATCCCGGGTTGCTATGGTCACGCAGGTTTTTTACACATTAAACTCGTGACCACAAGAAATGGATGTCCTTACCTCGACAAAATGATCTCGTGGCCACGACATATCACGTTCCCACGAGTTAATATGACGTTCCCTCAAATTAATATCTCGTGGCCACAACATATTATCACATTCCCACAAGTTATTATATCATGGCCATGACAAAACTAAGTGAACCGAACATGTCACCTCCGGGGCAATAAAATGGGTAAAAAATAAATTTAAAAAAACTTAGATGAAGAGGAAAAATAATACTTTGAGCACATAATATAGGCAGTTTGTTATGCAGGGTTGATGGATATATAGTCTTATAATGAGGACTGATTGTGTTCTTTATGGATTTTGTATTTTGTTGTTTAACAGTATATAATGGTGAAAGATCTCCTTGAAGGCTCGTTGATTTATACATCCAGAAGAGATGTTTAACAAAAGTCATATATACACCTCTGCCTGCAGTATATCCATCCATCCATTCTCCAAGCTTGTGGGGATGCTGGGGCCTATTGCAGCATATCCTGGATGGATGGCAAGTCCATCATAGTGGTACAATACATACAGCATATGGTACAGTATAAACTACCTTTCAAAGGTTTGGGTCAGTAGGGTTTTTTTAAGAAAAAAAAAACTTTTATTCAGCAAAGATGCATTAAATTGATCAAAAGTGATAGTAAAGATGTAAAAACAATAATAATAATATTAGGGTTTTCTTTTAAACTTTGTTCATAAAAAATAATAATGAGTGGGGGGGTTTTTCAGCATATTGAAATGATTTCTTATGCTTTGGTGAGCATAAGAGACTTCTTTCAAAAAATGAACACCAACCCAAACTTACACTCTAAAAACTGCTGGGTTAAAAACAACCCAATTTGGGTTATTTTGGCAACCCAGCGCTGGGTCAAAAAGGGACGAACCCAGCGCTGGGTTGTTTTAACCCAACAAGTTGGGTTATATGTTTGACCCAGCACGCTGGGTTGCTTTTTTATGGTTTAAAATTACTACACTGCTAGGCTAAAATGAACCCAAATCGAGCCAGACATTAAACCTACAAATCTTGTTCATTTTAAAATCACTTTTACACACACAGAATGACTATCAAAAGGTAAATATTTATTTAAAACAAGAGAAAACAGTCAAAAGTAACATGCATGCAAGAAGAAATGCAGAAAAAGTATGGCATTAACAGCTACAGAGTTTACAAATGAAGCATTGAACATTTGTTGAATACAACTTTTAAGATCAAATTTGACTTTTTTGGTAAATTTTATATATTGTATAAAAATATGATACAAAAACACTATTATACAATAGTTGTACAATTAGTTAATAGTTAAGTTCTTTACAAACTATTCTGGCACAGTAAGGATTGGTAAATAGTCTGTTTAATGATTTCAACTACTTTGTGTGGTTGTTTAATGTCTCTGTCTACCACAGCGCTCTAGAATGCTATAATGGCAGCACTAGTGTGAGGGCATGTAATATTGTTTAAATAAATATATTGCTTTCAGAAAGCTACTTCTTTACTGAAACATTAAAACAGACATGACATTCACATACCTCACAAATTTTCATGTACGTGGAGGGCTGCTCTTTAAAGGGTTAGTTCACCAAAAAATTTAAATGGTCATAATTTATTCTCCCCTGTGTTGTTCCAAAACCATACAAACCATACCCATACAAAAAAAATGTTGTCCTCCATTGCAAGTCTGGGAGACCAGTATTTTCTTCTGAACAGACATGTTCACTATGATATAATTTAAGATTTATTCATATATATAAATATTGGCATGGATTATGTATTTTTGAAGCTTGAAAATACTGATTATATAGAACACAGACATCAATGGTTTACATAAAATATGAACACGTAATCATACTGTTGTTCAATCAAAATGTGAGGTAAACAGGCAGGAGACAACAGAAACATTTATTTTCTAAAAAATAACTCCCATAAATCTCAAAAGAATGATGCTCTCCGATGTCTCTGGCTTTCAACATCTACAAAAACAAACATTCTTTTACTCTTAGTAAAAAAAGAAAAAAATGATAACATGGAATTCTGAAGTTTACTTGCCTTCCCTCTCTTCTGAAGAAGCTGAGAAAATCGCCTCCTCACACAAGCAGGCTTCTGTGTTCAGTAAAAGAGACCGTTAAGACTATTTCTGAGGCGAAATCCGCGTCCGCGTATTTTTCAATATAAGCTCTTTTCGGAATATTTCCGCCTTCCGTGAAATCTCAAAATACTACCGAACTCAAACAATGAATGATGATTTTTTAATCTTTAACCGTCTTTCACGCTGAGAAAATGGCGGCTTCTTGTACTGGTGTCGTCCGATGTTAACGTGACGTGCGTGCTCTCTTTCACGTCCGCGTTCCTAACCCAGCAGCGCTATGTTATTGATAAAGACCAATTTTCAACCCAACGTCCTTACCCAGCAGTCTCAACCCAGCATTTGGGTTGAAAAAACAACCCAGCGTTTTTTAGAGTGTATACTGTGCATATATACAGTTGCATATATTTGCATATACAAATATAAGCAATTAAAAAAAAAACTTTTGGAAACACTTTATATATAATTCATTATAAAAGTATTTTAATGCATGAATTATGCCTTGTAATGCACATTATTATGCAATGTAGGATCTCATGAACCACAGTTATATTACATAACACTTATTGTTACACCTTTAGAAAGTATAATGCGTTAAAACACATGACAAACAAACCTTCAAATATTATAATGCATTTTAACTTTGGTTATAATTATTTATGAAAATAAATAATGCATTGAAAAATACATTATGAATATTTGTATAATGTATTACTCATAAATGTTTTAAGTAAAGTGTTTTTATTTAGTTGTATTTAGTAGTATTTAGTGCATTTCAAAACAGTTGTAACAGTTATAATAAAAATAGTTTCATCAGGCAGTACTAAAAATGCCATTTTTGTGATTTTTCTTTTTTAATGATAAACATCTTCACTTAAGGTGCATGTAAATCTATGCACTCAACTGTATCTAAACTGTATATGTTGTCTTTCCTTAAAGAGGTTTACTACAAAATGTCATCCAATTCCATTACAATAACTTCTTTAAACACATACTTCATGACATCAGGGTACTGGCTTATGACTTTGAATTAACAATTTGTATGTAATATGGTACTGTATGCAAATTAATTTGTGTCTCTTTGCTTAAGAGAAGCAATGAACATTATTAGTCTGTAGACAATGTACACCTGTCTGCATTTAACCAGACCATACATACTGGATGTTTTAGGGCAAAGAAAATGTGGCAGTGTTGGTTTCTCCAAGTTGTCATATTTTTTATTTTATTTTTTTCTGGTAGGACTGTTTTGGAAATATTGCTTTCATCTCTTGGGTTACTGAAGATGAGTGGCCATAATTTAGGGGCAGGACCACGAGGACAGGCCCAAAGTGTGCAATACAGTCTCTTCACACTGTGGACAGTTATCCACTAAATCACTTGATAGCTGTACCTCTAATAGGGTTCATGAATCTGAGGTCTCAGAAGTGCTCACTTAAGAGGAGCAACACTAGAAGTGGTAGATGGAGAGGAAGAAGAAAGCCAAACCAATGCCGGTTGCACTTTGTCCCATCTCCACATCACTTCTCTTGACAAATAATGTTCCTACCTCAGTCACATCAGCAACAGAGAGAATATCCCATTAACGGAGGGAGGGGGAGAGAACTGCAATAGTTTTTATGTTTCGTTTTCCTCTGCACTCTCGTGCTCTTTTTCATTTCCTCTATTGATAGAGGAGCATAAAAATAAAAACCACTTTAGTCTGTGCCGCTGGGGCTGGGATAGCATGTTATAATCAAAGCATTACTTTTATTAATGTTCAGATGGCTTTTTAATAGATTTACTTTATTATGTCATTCCTTTCTCTCATCAGTTCTCGGTGGCCTTTTTGTTTTGTTTGTCATTTCTTTTTCATATTTGTTGTGCTGTAAGCCCATGGGATATCTGTCCTAAGGAGAGAAACGTAGAGCGCAGGGGAAACATTGATGATATTTCTGCCGCCCCCTCCCCACATCCCTCTTCATCATTTGTTTTCAAGACCAATGTTCTGTCCTGCCATACAATCTTGGCGATGCGGTTTTCTTGCTTCTGTTTCTGTACTCTCATTTCTCACAATTCTGTTTTTCTTTGTGCTTCTTTCAACAGCCAAAGGTAAAGCAGCTCTAACAGTGCATACATTTGAAGTAGATTGTGTTTGCAGACGGCATCAACAGAAATCGAAAAATTCAACAAAGCCTCAAGTTGCAAATTGCAAAGTATTATATTGCCCATTTAGAGATGGTTTTACTTTTACAGTACAGGTCAACAAAGACTCTGGCAGCTAAAGCCTGGGTTACGGGTGACATTTTCAAAGTCTTAAAGACCCCATTAAATCAACATTGAGTTTTGTGGCTTTTATATGCTATCTATATATGCAAAACATTGCTAAATGCACTTTAGATATACTGGAAAACTGTGCTTAGTTGATTTTCTGGGGTCATGACCTTGACTGGGAAAGTTACAGGCTTCACATTCACAGTGCACTGCAAAATAAATGGCATGAACAGACCTTTTTATATTGCACGAGTTAGAACTGATATTAGCATTTATATAAGTCAGATATCCAATCATGCAGATACTGTTTTGAGATGGAAACTTTAATGTAGCAATCGGCATG